TCAGGATGTAGGTGAGTATCTAATATTGATAAAATGGGCACCTTATAAGGGCAGATTACATCCTGCCCTTATAGTGTGATTGGACAGTTCAGCAATCTCTCATTACCATATGTTGCAGCCCACAACTCACAATATATCGGTGCTGCAGATGTATCACAATTCAGCACAAGCTAATAGTAGCATACAGATTCTTAAAAAGAAATAACTACACATATATATCTAAACAAAACATACAACATAGTGCAGGCAAATAGTATAGTAAAAGCATATCAAACAAGTGAGATCTTAAGCTAGAAGAAAGAGATAAAAAAACATTATTATGTACATAATCACTATTACATAAATGGCAAGAGTATAGCCGAATAAATGTTTTGACACAGTTTATACTGGCTGTGGCATTCAGGAAATGAATAGAGACTATATAAAAAGTATATAAAAAGTATATAGAAATATCTGAATGTACAATGTGAAAAGTGGGTATGAAGGGGTAAATAATATAGACTTATAGTTAGTCCAATATGGAATAAAAAATTAAATACAATGGGATATCAACTAGATAAAATAAAAATTAGAGATTGTAAAAATAGGTAAAAAATAATATATATATATATATATATATATATATATATATATATATATATATATATATATACTATAGCCTCTAATTTATAAAGTGGCATAGCTCAAAATCTTTATTGAGTCCATTTGGAATTAGAGTATTAAAATTAAAAATATGTTTCATCTCTATCTGACGCAACTTATTGATATAGTCACCACCTCTCCAGTCATGCTTCACCTTTTGAATGCCCTTAGATTTCAAAAGCGAGGGATCAGCATTGTGGTGATCCTTAAAATGAAGCGATACCTGATGCTGTTCAAATTTGCGTTTTATGTCGTATACATGTTCAGCTATTCTTGGGCGTAGTGGTCTTGTTGTGCGCCCGCTGTAATTAAGGGCGCACAGGCATGTAAGCATGTATATAACACCACTAGAATGACAAGTAATGCATTCTCTAATAGTATATTTGTGGCCATTAACTTCATACTGTGTAATATGACATCTATTGGATTTAGTGATCTGGCATCCTCTGCGTTTGCTGCAACCAAAGAAACCTTTATATTGGGTTAGGAAATTGTGATTGCCCTGTTCTTTTTCTTTAACCGGAATACTGCCAGTCAAAACTCTTTTTAAATTAGGTAAACCTCTATGTCTGATTTTAGGAGTTGATGTTAAAATTTCCTTTAATATTGGGTTTTTTAGCAGCAAATGCCAATGTTTCTGAACAATATTTCTAACTCTAGCATTATGACTGCCTGCAAATTGGCATATAAAAGGTACTATATTGTTTTGGTTATTACAGTCTTTAATTTTGTATTTTAGTAGATCATCCCTTTCAATATTGTCTACAGAATTTAAAGCCTTTCGCAAAAGATGGTCATTATATCCCCTTTCCTTGAACTGTTGTGTAATTTTTTGGCATGATTTCTAAAGCTTTCTCTTTCCGTACAATTACATTTAAGCCTGATAAATTGGCTCTTTGGTACGTTATTGAGCCAGGGGCTAAAATTACAGCTGTTTTTTTCGATATAACTGTTCACATCGGCACTTTTAAAAAAGGTTTTTGGTTTTAATGATATCATCTTGGATGTAAATGGACAAGTCTATAAAATCTATTTCAGAACTACTGTATTTAAACGGTAGAGTGATGCCCCAATCATTGGTGTTAATAAAACTAATAAACTCTTGGAGTAATGTTTCTCCTCCCTTCCAAACAAAGAGTAGGTAATCGATGTACCTCTTATAGAGCACCAGGTTTGCCTCCCAGCCACTGCCCCCGACCCGGCAGACTGATTACCAGTGTGCAATGAACAGGTTGACATAGCTGGGGGCAATCCTGGTGCCCATCGCTGTACCGCACTTCTGTAGGTAGAAACTGTCAAAGAACCAAAAATAATTGTTGTTTAATATAAGTAAAATGGCTTCCAAAACAAACTTTTTCTGACTGGCTGCATAATGGGTATTTTCAAAAAAGTAGTTAATTACATGAGAGTGTATATGTGTATGTGTCACTGTACGTATCTAAGTGTGTATGTAGATGTGTGTATGTGCCAGTGTGTGTATATGTCACTGTTTGTATCTGAGTGTGTGTGTATTTGTGAGTCAAGGTATGTGTGTCAGTGTTTATCTGTGTGTGTGTATCTGTGTGTCAAGATGTGTGTATCTGTGTGTCAGTGTGTATCTGTGTGCCACTATGTGCCAGTGTGTGTGTGTGTATCTGTGTGTCAGATACACACACACAGATACACACTGACACAGAGATACACAAACTGGCAAAGGGAGTGAAGGGTGGTGGGGGTCCACGATGTTGATACACTATGTCAAAGAGTTCCATGGGAAAAATTAATTGGGAACCCCTGGCCTAAATTAATATTTGTGTCTGTTTTGGAATGTGAGTGTGTGTATTTGTAATTTCCCTATCAAAATGGTTTTAGGGCATTGCAGAGAGACAACAACAAACATATCTACAGTTGGGGTGCCAATTTGCATTTCCATCCTGGGTGCTAGATATAGGTAAGCCTCTGGAAAACAATGGCATTACCATGTGTCAACTTTTACCATGCATTTAAGTTGAATTATAAAACTTTTGACTGTTTTATTTTTGTGGAAATCCAAATATTATAACAGAATTTGTAGCTTTAGTAATTGGGATCATATGCAAAGATTTGCCCCAAAAGTGCTTCTAAACAAGACTGGAATTTCTTTTTTTTTTTACAATTATTATATGCTCATCAAGTTGCACCAAAAATAGCCATGTGGGTCAGTGAGAGATTTTAATTTGAGAACAAAATTTAAGAAAAAGCTAAACTTTCTAGTTAAAGAATGGGATAAAGAAAACAACTCTATTATTAACCAGAGGATTTGTAACAGAAAAAGTCCCTTGTTTGTGTTGAAGTGTTTGTGTTGATGACTTTTTATTCAATTCATCCTATTGCAAGAGAGAATACATTTTGCTGCACCTCCTGGTTTGTAAAGTAATTTAGAGAGGCCAACTTTATTTTATTTTTGTTATTTCTCCTATTGCTGTTAGAATCTTAACCACCGGTAAGGTAATTTCTGCAATGTTCAGACTGGGTATTTTTGGACATATTCTGATATATTTCCAGAACTCTCTTCATAGAAATTCCTTAGTCACTGGCACAATCTAGGCTGAGGGCTTTAGCATCAATTCAGATCATTTTGTTTGTGCTTCAATTTGTTGCTTATTCAATACAATTTTGATGTGCAGTTTGGATAATGGTACATTTTGTAGTTTAACTCTCTATGTTTACCTATGAATTACACCATCTTTATTCTATTTTAGCATTTGCTTCAGAACATCAGAGAATAACCCTGTGGGATTTCTTTTATTTTAAAAAAGAAATGCAATATTTTGTTAAAGGTTAAAGAAAGTAGTTGCATTACTGACCGAAATTCAGAGCAGAGGCAAGAGATGTTTTAAAGATCTCCTACTAAAATTATCTTAATTTAATATCATGCAGTTTTAACATTCTTGTACTAACTGTGAAAATGGTTTCTTTTCAGGAAAGTAAAGTGATTTTTCATTTTTAAGTGAAATTAACTGTACGCTTTTTATCATCTTTAGCCAGAATATCTCCAAGAACACTAACCTGAGCCATGGAATTATAAAACAATGTAATATTAGCAATATCTGAAAGCAGATACCAAGAGATTATTTCAGAATACATCTTATGTACATTCTTTCCAAAATTAAATTAAAGGTGTACAAATAAAAATTAGAGTTGCCTTACAATTTAGAGATTTGAAAACATAACTAGTAGAATAAAGTACTCTATTTTTATTGTACTGTAGAAAATAAAGATTAACTTCCCATGACAGAACATTTATAGAAGTGATACTTCTGTTGCAAGAAGAAATCTAGGACAAAAGCAGTCCATGCCAGAAACATCACAAAGTACTAAATCAATATTTTGCACCTTACATCCTGATATCCTGGTGTTTAAATGTCTCTTGCTTGACAGTGTGCTAACCTTCTTTGGTAAAGTGTGAAAGGTTTTTTTATCCTTCTTGAAAATTCTCATTTACTGCTTTTGTGAGCACCTGTGGCCTGATCAGGAATGTATGGGTTAAAGTTTGTCAATACAATTTACTATTTCAAACCTTAGTATAAGAATATTTTTTTTTACTTGTAGAATTTATTTGTTGAGGATTTTATGTTTTTGCTGCCAAATGTCACTGTATGTACCTTGTCTAAACTGCATATTTTTGACAGACTTATTCTAAAAAATAGCTTACATTTTAAACTAATTACATAATGCCTACCAAACTCAATATATTCAATTAATTTAAATGCACTGCACACATAATTATTTTATTTTCACACCTTTTACCATGTCTGTTGGATGTAATGGTACATAATGAAATAGAAACTAGAGGTGTGTGACATAGCAATTATTTACAGCCAATTCTTTTGGGACTAGAAATTGTAGCTTCACAGTCAAATGCATCAAAGAGATATTTCATTATGTTCTTAGTGCAGCTATAGCCAGGATTCACACAGCTCTTCCAGTAGCAATGTCTGAAAAGTTGTTAATTGTGAATCTTTGTGTTTGGGCCATTCTTGTTTGTTGTAAAATGAAACAAAGACTATGCGCATTTATAAATAGCAGTTTAAAAAAATGTTAGTTAAAAATATACTGTATTGCATTGGTTGCATTGAAAAGATAAACAATCACAGTGCACCCCCATTAATATGTAACATCATTAACCCCTTAAGGACGGAGCCAAATGTACACGTTGTGAACGAAACAAAATGTAAACAAAACCTGGCATTTGCGCTACATGTCTGTCCAACCGTAATTCACCTCTTTCATATTAAATGCACCCACCTTTATTATATATCATTTTATTCAGGGGAAACAGGGCTTTCATTTAATATCAAATATTTAGCTATGAAACATAATTTAATATGAAAAAAATGGGAGAAAATACGATTTTTTTTATTTTTTTAGTTCTACATGACATTTTAACGGTCAGTGTCATAATACTGTTTGCTTTTACTGCAATAAAATACACATATTTGTATTCAGCAAAGTCTCACGTGTAAAACAGTACCCCCTATGTACAGGTTCTATGGCGTTTTGGGAAGTTACAGGGTCAAATATAGCACGTTACATTTGAAATTGAAATTCGCCAGATTGGTTACGTTGCCTTTGAGACTGTATAGTAGCCCAGGGAATGAAATTTACACCCATAATGGCATACCATTTGCAATAGTAGACAACCCAAGGTATTGCAAATGGGGTATGTCCAGTCTTTTTTAGTAGCCATTTGGTCACAAACACTGGCCAAAGTTAGCGTTAGTATCTGTTTGTGTGAAAAATGCAAAAAACGCCAATTTTGGCCAGTGTTTGTGACTAAGTGGCTACTAAAAAAGACTGGACATACCCTGTTTGCAATACCTTGGGTTGTCTACTATTGCAAATGGTATGCCATCATAGGGGTAATTTTCATTCTTGGGCTACCATAGGGTCTCAAAGGCACCGTAACCAATCTGGCGAATTTTAATGTGAAAAAAATGAAACGCAAGCCTTATATTTGATGCTGTAACTTTTGAAAACACCATAAAACCTGTACATGAGGGGTACTGTTGTACTCGGGAGACTTCGCTGAACACAAATATTTGTGTTTCAAAACAGTAAAAAGTATTGCAGCAATAATATCATCCGTGTAAGTGCTGTTTGTGCGTGAAAAATGCAAAAAACTTCACTTTTACTGGCGATATCATTGTTGTAATACATTTTACTGTTTTGAAACACTAATATTTGTGTTCAGTCTCCCTAGTAAAACAGTACCCCCAATTTACAGGTTTTATGGTGTCTTGGAAAGTTATAGGGTTAAATATAGTGCTAGCAAATTAAATTCCCTATACTTTCGGCATGTGTTGTCAGGCAGGTCCCGCTAATTGTAATTAATTAGGATACCTAATTATGTAAAAATATTACATAAATATATGTGTAGAATTAATATATGTATATATATACATATGTGTATATATACATATATATATATATTTTTTTAAATATATAGGTGTATATATTTAGTGATATATATGTATATATTTATGTATATAGATATATATATTATTTCGTTCTACGTGTATTTTGATATAAATATATATATATTAATATCACAATACAGTTAGAACGAAATAACAAACATCTATATATTTTTTAATTATTTATTTTTAATTATTTTTTTTATTTTTTTTTTTACGTATTTACATTTTTTTATATTATATATAAATATATATATATATATATAAAACAATAATTATATGTATATATATATTTAATTAGTATCAGTCTATGTGTAATTCAATAGTAATATATATAAATAATTCTATTTATTAATATTTAAATACACTTTGTTTATGTGTAAATGTGTGTGTGTGTGTGTGTGTGTGTATATATATATATACTTAGATCATATATATATTATATATGATCTAAGTATATTTTATATGTAACTGTAATTTTGTTTTTTTTAACTAATATTTTATTTTTTTTACAGGAGAGGGGGCAGAGACAGTGTCAGCCAGTGATTTTACATCACTGGCTGACACACAGGATCAGTGATCACAGTGACTGCCTGTCACTGTGATCACCTCCTGCAGATTGGGTAATTGGCCACAGGGGGGAGTGCCTGGGTGGTACAAGCACTCCCCCCTTCCAATCTGCAGGGGGATCTTTGTGCCAGTTACATGTGTCAGCCAATAGGCTGACACATGTAACACTGATCGCAGTGACAGGCTGTCACTGCGATCAGAGCGCTCTGAGATCGCAGTGACACCCTGTCACTGCGATCTCAGACAGTGCAGATCGCGGTCACTGACCCCAGGGGGACTGCCTGGGGGGCCAGGTAAGTTCCCCGACCGCGATCTGCACGGGGTAGCCGCTGGCCACGTGTGTCAGCCAATTTGAAATCGGCTGACACACGTTAAAAACTGATCGCAGTGACAGCATCCCCCCCGACCGCGATCTGCAGCGGGCGACTAGCGCCGACCACATGGGCGGCCATTAAAGTGAGGGCGTACTATTACGCCCACCGGCGTTTAGAGCCGGCTCCTGCAGGGCGTAATAGTACGCCCTCCGTCCTTAAGGGGTTAATACCTTTAATGGACATAAATATTAATATTCATTTCAAAAGGTCTCTATTTAAACCTTAAAATGTGTTTAAAAAAAGAATCTTCTTCCTAAAATTAAAGATAATATCGAAGGCCAGCTTCACTGGTGGCAGCTAAGATAGTAGGTATACTAGAAGACAGAGTAACCAGTCTTTTAAAAAGGTTTACATTTTTAATCATATTTAAATTAGTTTAAATATGGTCAGCACCAGAAATATATGTAACTAGTCGCAATTATATTGGGTTGTCAGTATAAATCCCTAAGCCAGGGGTAGGCAACCTTTTAGCAGCACTGTGCCGATATAGGATTGTGATGTCCCATAGCGTGTCGGTCATATTTTTTTAAATTGAGGTCTGTATGCTGCCGTTTTCTGCTTGTGTTATTTATATTGTTATTGCTTTGTATCTTTGTATTTGTGCGTATATGAGCTATTATATTGTATATGTTCAGGAGTGGTTTGTGGTATCATGTATCTATGAACGTGGGCTGTGTATGGGGACTGCTTGTGGAATTGTGTGTGGATGGATATGTCACATTGTGTGTTTGGTAGTGTGTGTATGTGTGGGGGCTGTTTGGGGTATTGCATGTGAGAGGCTGCATGTGGGGTTGTGTGCATGTATGTGGATTGTTAGCGGATTACGTTTGTGCGGATTGTGTGTATGTTTGTTTGTGGGCTGTTCGTATTATTTGTATGAGGGGAGGGTTATTGTGCATTTCTGAGTATATCTAGCAGTGTGGGTGGCTTCCCTAGGTTCCAGTGGAGACCAGGCTGGCCAGGTACAGGTGAAGGGCAGGAGCTGCAATATCCGCTGTCGGATGCTCTACCACAGTGTGGATTCCCATTCACAAGTGCTGGGAGGAAGTGATCTGAGGTCACTTCCTCTACATGCTGCAATATATAAATTGAGGATTGTCCTTCACCACCTTTTCGTATTAGCAGATATCTGAAGTTTCACTGGGACTTCTGATAGGCCAGAGCCTGTTTGGCTCTAGCAGCCTTGAGTGCCGTGCAAAGACACTTTGAGTGCTGTGCATGGCACTAGTGCCGGAGGTTGCCTACCCCTGCCCTAAGCTATGGGAGAAGCACTGTTCTGATTCTTCTGCTCATAAGTGTGATGCTGACTCCATGTATTAAAGGTTTCTTGATGGTATGTGGGGGTATGGCATCATAGTTTCTCAAATACACAGTCTGAGTATCATTCAACAGAGCAGTAATACCTGCCTTCTGCTGGTATATGAGTACCATTACATTGGGTACTAGTAACATTCCCTGGATGTACTTGGAAGCCAGAGTAATCTGACTGTACCTTTCCTTGTTAAACATTTTTTATTATTATATATATACATGCCATTTTGCTCCCATCCCTATAAAGAATGCAGAGGGAAATAAAAAAGCAACTGTGAAGAAACCATGAACATTACCCCACCCTAGTTGCTTCCCCCTAAACTCGTCAGAGATCCCCCCGCAAAAGAGCCCTGTGCACGAGCAATTTGTCACCAACAGTATGCCAAACGCCAAAAGTACTTCAGCGGTACTTCCCGACTGGCCATGTGGAACTGTTTTCAGCATCAACTTTAGCCATGGCCAGTCACAACTTTAATCAGGTGGCGTTCCCGATAAGAACATGGGATCAGGGCCCTATTCTCTGGTATTGCGCACTAGAAAACCAGCTTTCTGAGTATACCATATGTCTTAATGTTTTTGCACTGTATTTTGGTGTTATTTGTGCCAACAAGGAGTGTGATTATTGGGGGGAGGGGTTGGTCCTGACATCAATCCTATTAGGGCTACCTCTATCTTCTCCCATCTATTTTCTCCTCTTTACTTTATATTCAAATCACTCCTGAATACTTCAGGCTTCTTTTGATTTAGATAATTTTGCTCAGACATCGAGCATGAGATACATTCTGCTACATTTTTTTGTGCACAGTATTTTGCCTGGAGAGTGATTTAATAATACTACTTACTACTCCAACATCATTTTGTTCCTGTGAGTGGAGACCTTGTATCTATGAATTGATATTATACTGCCCTATGAATTAGTAGGCAAAATATATTTATATATATATTTACAGGATACCACTAGTGGATATGCCTGCATACCTATCTGTTTACTGATTTTTATTATTTTTCCTTTTTGGTTTATATTTTATTTATCTTTATGAATAATAAAAGTTACATTTTAATTCACTTCATATATACTTTTTGGGTGGATAGAGGGACTTCCTACCAATTATTCTAGAGATATTTTCTCTGGAATATCTTTTCTCTTTTATTTGTGCCAACTGCCTCTGGGCTGGGAGATAATTAAATTAAGAAATGTAGGTCACAATTATCTCCTAGGCACAGAGGCACCGGGGTCGGATTAATGTACTTTGAATGAAGTTCCCATACTGGGGGCCTGTGTATAAAACCCTGTACTTTTCTCAAAAAAGAAACTTCTTTTCACCCTTAATCAAGTCTAGGCTGATGTTTGGGTGAGAGCTATAATTACTTTTTCCTTGTGGAAATGCTCAGCTGAGATGCTCGATCGAAGTATAGGAGATCTGCTACAGGATCGATGCAAAGGACAGGATGTTTGTGGAAATGGTCAAGATGCCAAAATGAGAAATGACAAATCGAGGATGCAAAGAGGAAGAAGAGAAAAATGTGAAGATATTGTAACTAAAAAAGACTAAATTAAATGACAAAAGCAGAGGATTTTTGATGTGCAAAAAGTTGTGAAGAGACGTGAGTGAGAGAAGGTTATAACTTGATGAGGTATTGAGTTATTACGAAGATGGTAATGAGATAAAGCTGTAAGAAGATATGTCCCCATGGAGAAATGAAAGTAGGGTTGAAAACCAAAATTTTAGTCTAAACCAAAGGAAGAGATGTGTCTCATTTAGTAATAGAGAAAAAAAAATAGGTTTTGAGATGTGTATAATATGTGGGAAACAGTTTCCTATTGACATTCTATTTCCTACTATCAGATTTGCTATTTTAATGGATGTGACTTGATACAACTTGATACATTAAATGTGCAGAGTGACTCAGGT